GTGTATTGGAACGGGCCGTTCTGAAATAGACACACACACACATATATATATATATATATATATATCAACATGTTCACTTTAATATAAAATATTTTAAAGAACGTGACTCCTCTAAAGTGCAGTATAACACTAGTTGAGATAGTGATAAAAATCAGTTAAATGTATAACAAAATTTAAAGTTAATTACACAACTCTCCTTTACTCCCTCGCTTATGATTATGCAAACAATGTCTTGTGGGGGAAGATTGTAATTTGACAAGACATAACAACTAAGGCAAGATAAAATTGCAAGTTAAAATTTGAATGACAAGTAGATGGATTGGTTTTAACATGGATATGTCGAATTTGCAATGTAATGGAAGGAAATGAAAGTTTGAAGACAACCTTATTTGGAAAAATTCATGATAGTTGTATATAAAGAAAGGGAATATGAAGCACTAAATCATTTATTTGATCTAGTAATATAAGGATAAAAAAGAATAAAGTTTTTATAAAATAAATGTATAGTAAGGAAGGGTAGGTAGCTAACCGTTGATAAAAAGTTTAGAGGAAGTGAGTGTTGAGCTGAAACGAATTGAAGTGTGTTGGAAATGAATAAAAGGTGAATGTCACAATAAACATTGAACTCTAGGTAAAAAAGCTCTCCAATGAAATACAATAAACCTTGGAATTCAGAGGAAATGACAAAAAGATCTTCGTTACACTTCCAATAATATTCCTAAACTCCTAAAGAAGACTCACTTTAATCTTCTAATTCCAGACCTAAAAAATTACACAACTTCTTACTTATATACTTATTTAGTTCAGATTTCAAACTCTTTATACCTGGTTAAACTTAATTTTTTTTAATAATTTTTATCTTATGTGTTTATTTAAACTATTTTTTTTTAAAAGTAATTCCTATGTAATTTTAATTTTTTTTATAAAAAATATGTCTTTTTTTTAAATTTAAACAAGGAGATCAATATATAGAGTATAATTCTTTATTTATATAACTAAAATTTATAACAATAAGTTAATAATTTTGAATATATAAATTATATTTTAGATCTGTAATAAACAATTTATATTTATTTTTACGTTATTTCGCACTGTATTGTACAATTCCTTTATTTGTGTATTTGTGGGATTGATTTATTTCTCATACGATAAATAATTTAATTATAGAATGAATTTATACTTATGCCTAGATCTCGGATAAATGAAAATTTTATTTGATACTAAATTTATTTTAAATTATTAATTTTTTTTGAAAATATATAAAATAAATATTAAAATAGTGTATTTAAATAGATAGATTAAATAAAAATGGAAACAAATTTAAAAGATATACAAATTAAAAATATCAAAGTAAATATTAAATTAATGCAAATGGATTGTATATTATATTCATAAAAAATTCAAATAATAATGAATTAGAAAAAAATGTGAGAAGAATGAAACATTTAAACATAACTATTTTTTAAAAATAATATTTTAACTATAAGATAATACTTGTCTTATGATCTTACAATTTTTGAGTTAAAATATGTTTAGTATAAGATGTTAAAGAGACACAAATATTTTCAAGTTATTTATCTTGACTTATAAGTGATGTAAGATTTTTTAATATATTAAAAAAAATGATTGTTTTAAATCAAGAAAGTCAAAAGTTAATTATTCAATATGATTTTTATTAAGAAATTAATTTTTCCTAATAGATATCGTTTTATATACATCAACATGAAAAATAAACTCTAACAACATACTTAATGAAATGGTTGATTTAATAAATAAATGAATTGCAAAAAAAAAAATATAAAGAAAAAACTAAAAAATAAAATTATATTTTAGTTTGTTTGCTTGAATAAAGTGAAACAGAGAAATACATTTAAAAGGTGAAATAAATGTCTTTAATAGGAAAAAAGACATGATACTTTTGTGTGTGGAACTTATTGACATATTACTTGTATACTATGATGATGTACAATGTGGTGATAAAACCTAAAACACTCATTCTTTTATTTATATATATATATATATATATATATTATTGATGTTAAGAAATAATGTTAAAAATAAAATTGTTATTTGACTTAATTATATATTTCAGCATACATACATCTCAATTCTCAAATATACAACACTCCAAAATTAAAATGACAATTCAAATCAAACGTTCAGTGTTTTTTTTTTTTTTTTTTTGTATGGATGGAAGCACATGAACACAGAAAAGAGAGAGGCTGCAGAAAATAAGAGTGGAGTGAAGTCGGGCCAACCCAATAAAAAGGCCCATTGATTTAGAATTTAGAATAGACAGTCGAAAGAAACTCTACTTGCTTGTGTTCCCATCGTCTTCTAGGGTAACCACGGCGCCACTCCACCAACTGCGCCCATTCACAACCATTCTCTTCTCTTCCCAGGTTCTCCTTTTTCTCCTTTCTATCTCTATCTCTCCCTATATCTTTTCTCCGCCGTTTTGAAACCCTATCGCTATATGTGACTCTGCACATTCGCCACTGGCAGTGACGGTGGCGCACGATAAAATCGTCTTTCGCCTTTTCGATTCACCAGATCCCGATAATCGTAAATCCTTGTTTGTTCTATTTGGTCCTACAACTGTAACAGTCTTTCTAGTTTTAATGATGCTCAATTCGTGTTTTTATCTGCTGTTTAAACGCTTTTGGCTTCCTTTATTCGCTGATTCAATTGTCGTATTTGTGAATCTGTGTTTTCTTTTTCAACGTCGATGCAACGGTTTTGTTGTTAATGGTTAATCCAGCTCGCTCAGCTAAGCGAACCAAGGCAATTTTGATCGATTCTGTTTATGAATGTTCTCCCAATGTTTTGATTCCAATTTCACTGTGAACCATTGTGTAGACAATTAGACAATTCCACTTTAGATGTGTCTTATATTGTTTTGGCTGAAGTTTAATTTAATTTTTCTTCGTTGTTATTTGTCATTCTTATCTGTTGATTTTTATGTGTATTTGAACAGGGGAGCCGATTCTTGTGAGTTTTCAATATGACGTCGTTCTTGAAGCCTGAGAATGCTCTTAAAAGAGCGGAAGGTTTGTTCAAGAGAATGATTATCTTCCTTTTGTAATTTGTGTTGTTTTTTCCCTTTGTTTCTAAAACTTGATTTCATTTGTGGTATATGTAATGATGCAATTGAGTGATTATACGTTAAATTATATGTGCAGAATTAATCAATGTTGGGCAGAAGCAGGATGCTTTGCAGACACTTCATGACCTCATTACTTCGAAGAGATACAGAGCATGGCAGAAGACACTTGAAAGGATTATGTTCAAGTATGTAGAACTGTGTGTAGACATGCGCAAAGGACGGTTTGCAAAAGATGGGCTCATTCAGTACAGGATCATATGTCAGCAAGTGAATGTTAGTTCGCTGGAAGAGGTTATCAAGCATTTCATGCACCTTTCAACTGAAAAGGCTGAACAAGCTCGTAGCCAGGCTCAGGCGTTAGAAGAAGCCCTTGATGTTGATGATTTAGAGGCAGATAAAAGGCCAGAGGACCTCATGTTGAGCTATGTCAGTGGTGAGAAAGGAAAAGACAGATCTGATAGGGAGCTTGTCACTCCATGGTTTAAATTTCTTTGGGAAACATACAGAACAGTGCTTGAAATATTGCGGAACAACTCAAAACTGGAAGCCTTATATGCTGTAATCTTTCTTCTTCTCTCTCATTTTCCATCTTTTTCATGTTATAGTGGCTTCATATGTAGCTGTTTAATTTTAAAAAAATCTCATTCTTTAGCTATCAATAGTTTTGGTTTAATGTTTGACTACAGATGATGCCTCACTTGACACTTGCTATTTGTTGTTATAATTTGATGAGGAATTATTCTGTGTGTGTGTGTGAGAGTGGGGTTTAGGTGATCTTGAGTTACTGACAAATATGTGCCTCTGTGGTAGCATTAATTTATCACATTCATGTTTTGTATACTTCAGTGTTTCTGAATTTTACAGTGTTACTAAATTTAGACATTTAACAGTGGCATGCATTCCTTAGTAGTAGTAATTAATCAATTAGTTATGGGTATTGTTGTTCTTATCGTATTCTTATTTTTCTTTGTTGCTTTCAAATGTCATATGCTTCTTTATAATTATAATAATTTAAGGATGATCATTTGCTTTTTATAATCTTGAATTTTAAATAGATTCTGATGCCATGTGCAGATGACAGCTCACCGAGCTTTCCAGTTCTGTAAGCAATATAAACGAACAACAGAGTTCCGCAGACTGTGTGAAATCATAAGAAACCATTTGGCCAATCTGAATAAATACCGTGACCAACGAGATCGTCCTGATCTTTCAGCTCCTGAAAGCTTGCAGCTATATCTTGATACAAGATTTGAGCAGCTGAAAATTGCCACTGAACTTGAACTCTGGCAGGTTGGCCATTTCTCCTTTTTGTTTTTGCAACTATTACATGTTTGTTTTTTTAATGTTTTAAGTCATGATTGTTTTTTGGCAATAAAACCTGACATTTTGTCTTTGCATGCAGGAAGCCTTCAGATCAGTGGAGGATATACATGGACTGATGTGCATGGTCAAGAAAACGCCCAAACCATCTTTGATGGTTGTCTACTATGTGAAGCTGACAGAAATATTTTGGATCTCATCCAGTCATCTTTATCATGCATATGCATGGTTCAGGCTCTTTTTGTTACAAAAAAGCTTCAATAAGAATCTGAGTCAGAAGGATTTGCAATTAATAGCTTCATCTGTTGTTCTGGCTGCACTTTCAGTGCCTCCTCATGATCGCACCTATGGTGCATCTCATTTGGAACTGGAGCATGAAAAAGAGAGAAATTTGAGGATGGCTAATCTTATTGGCTTTAATCTTGAAACTAAACCTGAAAGCAGAGAAATGGTATTTTATTTCCCCTCAGTTGTTCTCCAGAGATAGGATACACGTCTGTTTTGTAAATCTTACTATTTGTTTCTGTTTATTTTTTGAATTGTCCCCAGCTCTCAAGGTCATCACTTCTTGCTGAACTGGTAAGATATTCTCTTTAATGTTGTCTTTTTATAATTTTTTTAAATGTATGTTTGTGCATTTGCTGCATTTCACTTTTCTTGAGTTTGAGTGCTCTATGAATTCCTTCTTTTAGCACTGCCCTTTTTAATATGTGAATAAGATCTTGGTGGATGCTTTTGTAGTTACCATATTTTCGCATGGATGATGTGTGGAGCAGGGTTTCAGTTAATTTAGGATGTCTACCTTTTCTGATTAACTTTGGTTTTGGGTTATAGGTTTAGTTTATTTGAATGTGCCAAATTACAAATATATCTTTCTCTTTTATGTTGTAGCCCATGTCATGTTTTTTGCGCACATCAATATTCACGGTCATTTATCTGTATTTCACCTGTTACCTGTAAATAGTTGCTGCATGGTAATCATTTTAACATCAATATTCCTTCAGTGTTATGACTGTTTAGAGAATGGAGAGTAGATAAAAGTAAGAGAATATAAAGTATTGTTAGTGGGATGTTACTTGTTGAGGCAATAAATACTAACCAAAAACTACTATATATGTTTATATTCTAGGTAGTATACTACACTACTATTCAATTTCATTTTGTCTTAAATTGTATAGAGCCTATTCATTATGTGGTTTGGAGGTTGAGTGGACTCGGTTACCATAACTAATGCCAAATTAAAGGCAATCTTTTCAAAATATTGTTGGTAGAGTCGGTCTAATTTTTGTGTCTGTTGGATTATAGGCATCGAAGGGGGTGATGTCTTGTGTAACTCAGGAAGTGAAGGACATTTATCATCTTTTGGAACATGAATTTTATCCCTCAGATCTTGCATTAAAAGCGCTGCCCTTGTTAACTAAAATCTCAAAGTTAGGAGGCAAGCTTTCTTCTGCTTCATCTGTTCCAGAGGTGCAATTGTCTCAGTATGTCCCATCATTGGAAAGGCTAGCTACCATGAGGTTGCTGCAGCAGGTGTAGTTTCTTTGTTCAGCTCTTTTATTTTGGATGTTTATTTCTGTGAGTAAATGTATTTTTCCTTCTGTTCAGTTATGATTATGCTTGCTAACAAGTTGCCTCCTGGTCTTCTAGGTGTCTAATGTGTACCAGACAATGAAGATTGAGACCTTATCCGGAATGATTCCCTTCTTTGATTTTTCTGTAGTGGAAAAGATTTCTGTGGATGCTGTTAAGCAGAAGTTTGTATCAATGAAAGTTGATCACATGAAAAATGTTGTGATTTTTTGCAAGACGGTATGTTTCTGTTCATTCTAGTGTGGTTGCCTCCCTTTAAAATTTATGATGCAGTAGGGATTTTTTGTTGTTGTTTGGTCTAAACTCATCTAAGTAACTTTGCAGATACAATTGTGCTGATTAATTGTGTTTCTGCAGAAGTGTTATACCATGTAGTTTTAAGATGAATTTTGATAACAATGTTCTAAAATGTGTAGAATTATTTTAATTGTATCTCAGCACAGGTTCTGCCTGAATTTATCAATTGTTCTTATGTCAATTGCTTGATTTCTAATGCAGAGTCTTGAGTCTGATGGCTTAAGGGATCACTTGGCCAATTTTGCTGAACAATTAAATAAAGCAAGACAAATGATTTATCCTCCTGATAAGAAACCGTCAAAACTTGGAGCTTTACTTCCAACTTTGACAGAAGTTGTGGCCAAAGAACACAAGAGGCTTCTTGCTAGAAAATCAATCATTGAGAAGAGGAAAGAAGAACAAGAACGACAGCTTCTTGAAATGGTATAATTTTAGGAATTGTAACGTTTTTTCACACTGCCTGCTTAATTTTGGGTAATTTTTTTTTAATGTTCTCTTAGGAGGCTCTGAAAATGGTTCTTTCTCTAAAATAAATTATTCCAAGAATGCACTTTCTATTAATGTTGGATGTTAAGAATTATTTTTTTTTGTAATGATTAAACCTTTTCCTTTATATTTTATTTAAAGGAACGGGAGGAGGAGTCAAAAAGGCTAAGACTCCAGAAAATAACTGAAGAAGCCGAACAAAGACGGCTTGCCACTGAGTATGAGCAGAGGAAAAATCAGAGGATTCTCAGGGAGATAGAGGAAAGAGAAAATGAAGAAGCTCAAGCTTTACTCCAGGAAGCTGAAAAGCGTATCAAAAAGAAGGGGAAAAAGCCAATCATTGAGGGGGTAAGTTGAAGTCTGCCTTCCATTAAATTTTTGATTTGTTGAGTCTGCAAATGCTGATGATAAACCTTATTTGTAGGAAAAAATTACCAAACAGACCTTGATGGAGTTGACTTTAACTGAACAACTCCGCGAAAGGCAGGAAATGGAAAAGAAACTGCAGAAGTTAGCAAAAACCATGGATTATTTGGAAAGGGCAAAAAGAGAAGAGGCTGCTCCGCTGATTGAAGCTGCATATCAACAGCGTCTAGTGGAAGAGAGACTTCTTCATGAGCGTGAGCAACAGGTATGTGTTGGTTGTAGTAATTGAGTGATTTCATTGTGCCCAGATCTTTACCTCCCACAACTCCATTTGAACCAATTTGTGTCTTACGCAGCAAGAGGTTGAAGTGAGCAAACAAAGGCACGAGGGAGATCTCAAGGAGAAGGAGAGGCTTATTCGAATGATGGGCAATAAGGTTATTATCCAAAATCTCTTTAGCTTTTCTGTTTCTTGGCAATCATCGAAGGCAAAATGTGTTTTCTATCCTTTTGTCTATTTCAAACATTTTTGGCAGATGTTACAGGCTATTTGACTTGAGACCTGTTGTTGACTATAAGATAGTCATTTGACACCAGATTATTAGAACGATCATTATCTAATTTAGCTAATAAAAATTACTCTCTGTTTCTTTACCAGCCTTGCACTCTGGCTGATATCTTTGTCTTGTGATTGATTATGCAGGAGATATATCAAGAGAGAGTTGTGAGTCACCGGCAAGCAGAGTTTGACAGATTGAGAAGAGAACGAGAGGAGAGAATCTCTAGGATTTTACAGTCCAGGAGACAGGAGAGGGAAAAAATGAGGAAGTTTAAGTATTATCTCAAGTTAGAAGAAGAGAGACAACAAAAATTGCGTGAGGAGGAGGAAGCCCGGAAGCGGGAAGGTAATCTTTTATTTATTTAACTTCATTTTTTTAATTTCACTAAGATCGTCATATTTTGCTTTTCACTTTTTGTATTCCATTCTTCGATGGGAAATTCATATTTCACTTTATACATACTATCTTTTTACACACAATGTAGTAGTAAGCCTATCGTTTGTATTTTTCTAATTTTTGGTTTCTTTGTTATTCAGAGGCTGAAAGGAAAAAGAAGGAAGAGACCGAACGCTTAGCAAAATTGGCTGAGATAGCTGAAAAACAGAGGCAAAGAGAGAGGGAACTTGAGGAAAAGGAGAGACAAAGGAGAGAAGCATTGTTGGGCAGAGCTGCGGAACCAGCTCCTCCTGCCCGTCCATTGGAATCGGGATCTGCTGCTGCTGCCGCCCCCGCTGCTGCTGCTGCTGCTGCCGCAGCTCCAAATCCAGGGAAATACGTCCCTAAGTTCAGGCGAGAGAGAACTGAAAGCACAGGAGCTGCTCCTCCCCCTGAAACAGACCGCTGGAGTAACAGCAGGCCAGATGGTGGGTGGCGTGGTGATGATCGTAGAACCTCGTTTGGTTCTGGTGGGGGTTCAAGGTCATCTTCTACTTGGTCATCTTCTAGGAATGCCCGTTGATCATTTTGTGCCCTTATTTATTGCTGGTGACTTTTGGGAGTTCTTTGTACTTTTCCCAGTTTAGGTTCCAGAATTCTTTTTGATGCCGAGTTCTTAAATTTATTATCTTTTTATTGCGCACGAAGTCCTCTGTTGGGTTGAGGAACATGCCAAGAAAATTTTCTATTTATGATCGAGTGGATTGCATATGGTAATCGAAATTTTAATTTAGACGAGTACTTCCGACTTATATTATCTACTTGTTGGTATTTAGTTTGGCAATCGTAGAACTAGAAAGTGATCTGTAGCCTTAGTTTGTGGTTTTGTATTCAGCTTTACTTATATTTGATATTCGAAACCTGTCGTTGCCATTAATTTCTAGTGTATTTGAAATTTGACATCCATTGCTCCTGCGCCTGGAGAAAAAAAACGAAAAATCGAAGAGAAAGATGAGAGTAAGCCAAGTTTTAAAGTGAGATAGAGGCTGAAGAGGATTCCGCTGTACTGGAACCAGAATTCCAGATCCCGAATATTCATGAATCTGTTTTTTAATCCTGGGATATGCAATATGTATGAGTAATATTCAGTAGAATATAGGACTAACCTAAAAGCTAGGCGTTGCTATTTAGGCAAGTGAATCTAATGATAACGAACCCATCATTCTTCCTCGTAGAACTGTCCTATTCCTGTATACATTTTTATTATTGAAAGAATGGTCATTGCCTTACTTTCCAATGGTAATAGTAGACACTGTTCCAACTTTTCTAGTCCAAAATTTATTTTTCATGATCCATATTTTATACACTAACTAATATTCAATCCAAATAATAAATTCACAAGCTACTTGGGTTTGTCTTGGTAAATGTGTAAGGACTTTTTTTTTCTTTTGGTTCGTTCCTGAAGTATTAACTGCCGATAGCAGTGATTAATCTCCTTGTTATGTTGGAGGCACCTTGGTGGGATAGCTGGTCCTAAGATTTAACGCGGTTGCATACACAAGGCAAGATTCGAACTTCTGATCTTGTTTAAGCGTGGATCAACCCTTACTACTAAACTACACGCTTGGGGTTAAATGTGTAAGGACTTGAGTTCCTTGTCTTTGTAATATTTTTTTTATGAATAAAAAAATACTAAATCAACAAGTTATATGGAATTTCATTCTTTCTTCCAATAAAATTACATAATAAAGGAACTTTTCTTACATAATTATTTTGGAATTACGATTTATTTTTATACTTAAAGTTATGATTTCTAATAAATTTTAATCTACAATACTGAAGAGGGATTGATAATATTCTTATATTAAATATTAGGTAAAATTATTTTATATAGTCAATTAATTATGATATATATATATATATATATATAAATAAATAAAACTAGTGGTTATATGTGTTACATATAATTTTTTTTATATTGAATAATGGTGTAAAAGCGATTATATACTATTTATCTCTGTAATTATTGAATAATGGTGTAAAAGCGATTATATACTATTTCCTCTTTTACTGGATAAGGATTTCTATTTTCTTTAAAATAAAAAGTTGGATTAAAATATTTTGAAAAAATAAATACCTTAATTTTAATGATCTTACTTAAATAATTGTTGAAAGAGATTTTAAAAGAAATATCTTTCATTTTTTTTCGTTGCTTTCTGTCTTTTTCAGCTATCCGTTTTTACCCTCTTCTTCTTAATGTTATCTCTGTTTTTTTTTTTTTTTTTTTTTCGAATAATTTCTTCTGAAATAAAAGAAATGAAAATCATAAAATAATTTACGCCTAATTTTTAAAAATATGTTTTAAAACAAAAAAAACATTTATGATGTCATAATTGGGACCAGATCCAATTATGAGAAGACCACTTTTTCCCGCAATCAATGGATAGAAGAATCTCAGGATGGTATCTAATTTATCTATTGTTTTGGTAGCCCAACGGCGAGTCATGACATAAGTCACTCAACAAAACAAACTGTGGCGGTATTTTAATCTCTGAGATGCGTCTTGTAGCGTGCGAAATTGGGGCCGGCTACACTCTTTTTGTGATTGGACGTTACTCTCATGACGTCTGACGAAAGCAAATTTAAAAATATTTATAGCCATCCATCCAGCAATCGGGAGATACAATTTCAATCAATGGCGCTCGCAGTTCCCGGCGACGAAGAAACGCCACTCGTCGGCGGCGACACACTCGAATCGCCCAAGAGCCACCACACGAGGGATATTCACATCTTGAGCTTCGCCTTTCTCTTAGTTTTTCTCTCCTTCGGTGCTGCTCAGAATTTGCAGAGCACTTTAAACACTGTCAGTCTCTCTCTCTCTCTCTCTTTCGATTTTTCAGTTTTTGGATTTTATTGTATCTTTATTGGTGTTTGAATTTGAATTCAGGAGGATGACTTGGGTACCACATCGCTTGGGATCCTCTATTTGTCTTTCACATTCTTCTCCGTGGTTGCTTCCTTGGTGGTGAGAGTTCTCGGCGCCAAAAACGCTTTGCTTATTGGGACAACTGGCTATGTGCTTTATGTGGCTGCCAACTTGAAGCCTACTTGGTCATAGTTACTATTCATCTTGCTTTTGTGTTTTTATTTACTTTGCTGCTCTATAAAACATCACTAGTACTTTGTTTGATGGATTTAATATGGATTATATGCGTTTTTGGATCTTGAGGATTTGGTCAAACTTAGTCTTAGTACCTTTACTTTAAAATCCATAAATTAGAGTTAGAGTTCTACTATGTTAATGAAGTCTGCATTAAATTGCAAATGCATATTAGTAAGATAAAACTCTAATTTTGATCGTAGATCACCTACACATAAGGAAATGTACCCAAATTTTGTCCTTTTTGATATATGGTTGTGGTATGGGTGGAATTGTGTGTTGAGTTTTGAGAGTAACATAAGATTAGTTCTAGTTACGAGTGTACATGTTACGGTCCAACATATGCCTCTAAATCAACTATTTGATTTAGTGCTCAATCTATTATTATAAGGAGACTGTTTAGATAAACTTCTTTAGAAATACTAAAAGTCCGCTCACATAGAAGAAGAGTTCAAGGAAGCAAATAGGCCCAAACGTAACAAGAGGCTCAGCTGGCTTGATAACTTCATTAAATATTTTAAGAGTTTCTTTATTATGTTTCATTTATTTTGTTTACTGTTGGTGTAATGGCACTTTAGTCTCCAACTTGTTTTAAAAAGGGCTAAGGTTTCCCTTGACCGATATGATAAATGAAGTGTATGCACTAGATATTTGTAGTATTTTTATTATCGTTAGAGTCTTCCTTTTAGCATTCGTAGATAGGTCTACTCCTATCAAACACTTTCAGAAAAAAAAAAGGAAAAAAAAAGAGAAAAAATGAAATGTTTCTTCATAAGCTAAATCTAACTTATGCGTAAGTTAATAAGTTTTTGGAGAAATTAATATGAGAGAATTTCTACTAATTATCTTATGCACAAGTGTTTATGAAGAAACTTTTTTTTTTCTTCTTCTTATTTTTCTCTCCTAGAAGTCCTTTTGAAGAAATTTATCCAAACATGCCTTTTATCTATGGAGTGTAAACTTAATGGGCAAACCTGTTCATAGATATGCTATTATATCTGAGTATCATTTCTGTTTTACCTTATGACTATGTATGCTGTCATAATGCAAATTTATTATGCATATCCTTGACCATTGAGGGATCTTTCTGCAGGTATACATTGGTTCCTGCTTCTGTGTATCTTGGGTTTTGTGCTTCCATAATATGGGTTGGAGAGGTACATTAACATGTCAAGGTTTTATGGCTCCTTCAAATTGTCATTAGTCTTCTGTATCTTTATTGACCGTAGTTTGACTTGCCAGGGAACATATCTCACTTCTGCTGCACGCAGCCATGCTACAGATAACAACTTGCATGAAGGTGCAGTAATTGGTGACTTCAATGGGGAATTCTGGGCTGTGTATGCACTCCACCAGGTGATCATATTATTTTTTACTATTGATCACTTTGTTGTTTTTTAATCTCTTTTAAAATTTGAAATTGATTGAGAAAATACCTGTTTTGCAGTTTATTGGAAATCTTATTACATTTTTTGTACTGAGCGATGATGAGCAGGTATGTGGTGATTAGTCTTCACATGTGGCATATTTTCTTTTAATCTTTTTGTTTTAACTATCAGTTCATGTTAGCTACTGTGAATGAAGAATATCCTCTTGTGACATTTCTTCAGAAAAGGAAGCAACTTAAACTATATGATTGATGGAACTCTAGGTCCAAATTGTTGAATTCAAATAGTATAAACTTTTCTACTAAAGAAGTTCTTAACTTGTGATAGACCACTATTTATCTAGCACTCCTCTTTATCGAGTATTAGGCTTGTTTTGATTTTAAAACTAAACACTAGTAATGGTTTTCCAAGAAGGCTCATGGTGTTCACACGGTAGTTTGGCATTTCCATGTTATGTTTTTAATTTCCTTTTTGTTTTTTTTAAAATGTTTGATTAATATGTGAAAAATGTTAATTTGTATAGGCAAAATATTTCAAGGGAATGTAAATATGAGCTCCGGTTTTCCTTGTACCCCTTCAACAACAAATTATCATCTCACATGCTAACAAGTTTTGAGTTTTGGATTCAAAATATATTACACATTTTCAGGATTTGATTTTGTTTCTCATCACTGCAGGAGGGAATGTCCAAAGGCTCAACATTATTGTTTGCTGTATTCCTTATCATTATGACCTTTGGTGCAATACTAATGTGCTTCTTGCGCAAACGGCGTGCTAATAGTAAGGGACAGCATGAGCTTTCAGGTGCAGATGCTGGTGCGTGTGCGTCCTTGAAGTCTCTATCTAAATCACTTGCAAATGCATTGTCTGATGTTAAGATGTTGCTGGTCATACCCCTTATTGCATATTCTGGTCTACAGCAAGCATTTGTGTGGTAATTTCTTATGAATTGAGTCATTCATCCTTGTTGCCTTTTAATAATTCTATGATTTATGGTGTCCTTTTATTCACGTTAGATCTTGCTTGTTGATGATATACTTTTTTGTAGGGCTGAATTTACCAAGTACGTTGTGAAACCTGCAATTGGTATTTCCGGTGTGGGTAGCTCAATGGCAGCTTATGGGGCTTTTGATGGAATAGTAAGTACAGGAATGCAAAATTTGTATTTCCTTGCCATTGGTGGTTGTTTTAAATTAACTTGATTATATCATGCTAACGAGCATCTGTTTCTTATTTGCTCTTTTATTTGTTTACATTTTGAAATGACTTTAGCAACTGATACCAATATCTATGAAAATGTCAGTGTTCCTTGCTTGCTGGTCGTCTCACCTCTGGTCTCTCGTCTATTACGTCTATAGTTTCTGTTGGAGTTTTTGCTCACGCAGTCGTATTAATCTTACTTCTGCTAGATTTCAGGTCAGCAGTAGTTAATTTTGCCTGAATGAAGTTGATATTTTTTAATTTATTTCCCCCCATGTAATTTCATCTCGCCTATATCTTTCTTTGCCACTTGTGATGCAGCATAACTAGCGGATGGCTTGGTACTCTTTACATACTCTTTTTGGCTGGTTTATTGGGCATCGGTGATGGAGTTTTCATGACGCAACTTAATGCATTGATTGGAATACTATTTAAGCACGACACGGTATACAAATGTTGTCCTATTAACATGTTTACCTTGCTTGTTCATGTCTCTTTGCTGATTACCATAAATTTGATTCATAAAAATTTCACATCCCCCGGTTATTCTTCTCGCACAACTTTTTTGGAAAAACTAATTTCATTTTTTTTCTTCCTATAAATACTCGTACAGAAGTTTATCCAAATATGTCACTAGTCTAAGTCGCCTCTGATGTCAAGTATTCTTTTCCGTGCAGGAAGGGGCTTTTGCGCAGCTAAAGATATGGCAATGCGCTATAATCGCAATGGTGTTCTTTTTCGCCCCGTTGATCTCCTTCAAAGCTGTGGTTGTGATTATGCTTGCGTTCCTTTGCTTCTCATTCAGCATTTTTCTATGGCTTGCTCTGAAGGTGGGGAAGTCATCATCATCACCGTCCAACAGTCAGTGAATTTAAATCTCCTTCAACTGCAAACATTGTAGATTTTCTTATACATCCTCTGTTTGTCTTCTCGCGTGTAACACGTCCAATCGTTGGGCTATGTCTGTATTTTATGCAACGAGCTGTATAAATTAAATTGTGACAAATATCCGTGTGTTTGGTAACACATTTGTTACCACTGGACGTGGATCCGCGAAATAATTAATAGTTGCTTTTGAATTGTTTTTACGTGAATTTCTCAAAAACGTTGATCTTCAATGCTGAAGCAAACACTCATTTTTACAGTTATTCGTTAAAGAATATTTCTAGAAATAGGTACTATTTCACATGCTCAAAATTCATACGAAAATAGTTGGGGTAACTACCACATTTGTCAGATATGCTGTCAATGCGAATAGATTTCAGAATTATTCAATTGTCAGCAATCCCTCTGAAATTACTGTTCTTTCTTTTCTCTTTGGGGTATGCTGTCATTTGGGTTCTTGTCTGGAGTGTTAGACTCAGGGCAATTATCAGTTTTTTCCCCAATGAGAATCAATATTTCATACAATAATAATGTAATTCCACGACTGTGATTTTGATATCAATAAATAAAATTGACAGATCACTTGGCGTAAATCAGATGACATCAAATTGTTCTAGCTTAATCCGTAATTTCGCGTTTGAAATGTGCATATGCAGCTGCCGTAAAACAAAACTTTGATATTCATAATAATTTTAGTTGAACAAAACTATCTTCCCTAGAAAATACATGTTAAAGAAAAATTTGGCAGAGTAAAAAAAGATAGTGACAACGATTGCTGAAATGAAATGACAACACTGACAATGTCTGATAATGTATTTTTGTCTTTTAACTGAGAGATCCTCAAAATCTAAAATATATTATTATATAAAATTGAGAGCATTTTGTGATAGTCATGACAAGTACCAATTATTGTCAGACTATTTCCGTTCGATTTCCACTCTTAAATTAGTTGTATGCACGATATGTAGGTTTGTAGGTCGTGGAACGACTTAGTCATATTAATATTTATTACAAAGATATTAACTTAGTAATATCATCATATAGAGCAATGTAATTTTATAGAATATTAAATATTTCTCTCTTAACCACCAAACGAGCCTCATACGACTTGTAGACTCAATAATAATACTGTTAAAAGATAAAAATAAAAATAAAATTACATAATACTGATACTACTATTTATTTTTTTCCTATGAAGATCTCAACTATATATATAAGGTCACCAGATGAACTCCAAAGTAATACATAACCAAAAATTTCTAAGATGGGAAAGGTTTTTTTCGTTATTATTATATATTAATTTCCTACAGCTACTTATGCATTAAAAATAAAGGGAAGTATAGTAACGAATGAAGTTTGTTTTTTCTTTGATTATAAAGAATGATAGGATTGAGATACTATTTCCAATTTTCCATTTCTTTAACGGCACTACTAATAGAGATCTAACCCACAAGATCATTACATAAACTTAACCTAGTAAATCGTAAATAATTTTATTTAATTATAGCTACTTAACTAACTTCTGGGCCTTTTGGATGAAACGAAATGTTTGATACATAAGTATTTGGATGAAAGGAACGAATTTAGGAACATCCTCAGAAAATGGCAAATTGTAACTATAACTGTAACATGCTTCTTATTGCATAAGAAGATAGTTTTGATAAATTGGTGACCACAACGAGGGCTTTAACTAGCTAGGAACATCCTCAAACCTTTGAAATTGACTCGATCAACTCGTTACTGAAATCCCATAGTTTCTTTGCTAACTGTTTGCTTTTGCCAAATGCACTTGGTTTGCATTGATTGCAATCCACAAAGTACTTCCCCGTGACACCTTTCACGCTTGGGTGGAGAGCAACATAGCATGTCGTAGCTGCTCCCTGCGGATTTTTTTAAAAAAATAAAAATAAATAATGATTAGTGACAATATATTTGGAATTTAGGACCCTTTCAGATGTAACATTTTGCACCTATATTGGACTAATCCTAAAATGACCAAGTGAAAGAAAATACCTGGGGAACGTTCTTCCATATGTAGAATGTGAATACCTTCAAGAAGTCTGCAAGAAATCACATTATGGAGTTACAAAGAAATAAATTAAAAGAAAATAAACGTGCATATACTTGTGTTGTTTTTTTGTGTTTAAGGAGAATTAACATACGCATAAGGTAAGAAGAATGTCTCATAAGAGGAGTCATGATAACTCCTGGATGGACCGAGTTGGCTGTGATGTTCACACCCTCTTCCTGCATACAAATATCAGAAACCATAATTAAAATAATACATACTCAACAATTACTCAATTTCCGATTCATGTTATCATCAAGAAAGGAAAGGACCTTTGGTAGTTTCTCTTATTAATATGATCAAAGCAAGATATTCGTGGCAAAAACAAGAAATTAAACAAGTTGTGGCATTATCTCTCTCGTTTATTTATTTGTTATTATTATCTATATTGTAATTTATTTAAGGTTTATAGATAAGGTTAGAGAAGCATAGCACGAGTTGGAAAACCTGCAGGCGACGAGAAAGCTCATTTGTATGTAATATGTTAGCTAACTTGGATTGTCCATACGCCTTCTTCTTACCATAACTGAAAAGTTATAGCAGTTTGTGAAGTACTAATAATCAGAATCACAGCCATGGTGCAGTAAATTCAGGGCAGAAGCAATTGGAGTCAAAGTGAAAATTGAAAAATACCCTTTTCGCTCATTGATCTTATTGAATCTAATCCCCTTTCTGTAAGTGTAGTTATGAGCAATTGATGACAGATTTATGATCCGGCCCTCTATTCCAGTGGCTTTTGCAGTTTGTTTCATTTTGTCAAGTAGCAGGTTTGTCAAGAGGAAATGGCCTGAAAAGTGAAAAACATGAGAAAAGAAAATACTACTAGTAATAACACGACTAATGTTGATGTTTTTTAATTAGAATTGAAATTTTAACTTGGTTAATACGTCTTAATATTTAATGAATCCTTTATTACGCATATCACTAAGGTGAAATTCCAATTTTAATTATTGTTAGGACAAATACAATACCGTAAGTATTATTGATATTGTTCAATCAAAATTGAAGTGTTATCTCGATAATATGCGTTACAAATAATGGTTTGTTGCAAAAACCGTAGGTACCATAACCAAAAATGTTATGCAGAAATGCTGAGACATTACCAAGATGGTTTGTTGCAAACTGCATCTCAACCCCATCCTCTGAGAGCTTGAAGGGGCAGAACATCACTCCAGCATTGTTTCTGACATGAAAAGCCAATACTATGATCCATACTTGGAAATGACTAATGCAACTCAAGGGTAATTGATGAACCTAAAATTTGATGATGAAATAGAAGGTGGGGACTAAAACATTAAAAAAGGAAACGAACATTAAGATGTTGAGAGGAAGATCAAGAGCAATGAAGTTGTCGACAAATGATCTAACAGAATTGACTGAGCATAGGTCAAGCTTCATTATGTCTATTCGGGCAGACTTATTGTCCTCAAGTATATCTTGTTTGGCTTTCTTTGCAGACGCCATGTCTCGTGCTGCAATGATGACATGCACCTTCCGAAGAGCCAATACTCTTGTTGTCTCCAACCCTATACCACTTGCTCCTCCTGCATGTGTTATTCTTTGAGTGCTTAATTAGTACAACAGAACAATGTTATGTTGTCAGCATCCTATGCAATATGCATTGATAAAGGTCATTCAATTAGAACAAACAAGGGCTCAGCATATTTGTTATCACGCACTATTAAGGAACATCATTTTCAAACTTTTCGTGTCTAGTCCTGCATCTGTGTCAATGTTAGCACGAGATTTATTTATTTATTTTTGGTTATTGGAACACATGTACAATCCAAGAAAGCAATGCTACTCGAACTAGATAAGATCACACCTTGTTCTATTAATAATATAAAAAAAAATCTGTAAATATTTAACATTATATTTAAAGTTCGAAGTTTAAACTACTTGATTTTTTTTGTTCTGTTATACTACTTGAATAACTTTGTAGCAGTTGAATACACTAAAATCATTCACTATTTGGTATAGAAAATTATTTATTGGTTCTCAGAAAAAAAAATATTAATTAGTTTGTATAAGTAAATAACATGCATTTTGTCTCATTGAATTTAACCTTACTTTGATATTTACTTTATCACACTAAACAGTAAACACAACATAATTAATTAGATTTAGTGTCTTAAGGTCAATAATTATTTATTTATATCAGTCTATTAATTAATTTAATGTATACCAAATATTACGTGATTTTATTTTATTGCAAAGAAGCCAAACTCTACAGCCACTGATGTGCATTGTTTTTAGTTAATGAAAAATTTGTTGAAATTTTATATAAAATTAATTTAAGTTTTGTTAGAATTATTCAATTAAATATTTTTTAACTTCAATTAACAACATCGAACATTTTGAAATATTTACAAACTATTTATTAATATAATTTTTAAAATTTAATGAACTATATTTTTAGGCTTAAAAATATTTTTAATCCATCAAATCTAGGGTAAATTGTTTTCAATCCGTCAAATTTAAATCTGTTGTTTAGTTTTTATAATTTTTAAAAGTTTTATTTTAGTCATTCAAGCCACCAATAACATATATGAAAGTAACAGATTTAGACAATTATACACCATCAGTTAAATTTAGTATAATGTTTTTATTAACAGAAACATCAATAGATCAAATTATGCGACAGTATTGACAAATTTTTTAACAAAATTTAAGTATAAGCACTGAAACAAGATTTTATGAAATTAAAGGGACTAAAAAATCAATTTTAAATTTGAGAGACTAAAAACAAATTTACATTAAATTTAAGAGACTAAAAGTATTTTTAATTTTTTCTTTTATATTTTTTACAAGCAAAAATATTTAATTAATAAAATTAAAATTTTTAAAATATTTTTAGTTTATATATCAGTACTCATGTAAAGTATGTGTTATTGTTTACTTTTATATATATACATATATATATATATATTTATAATTTAATTTTGGTATTAATAAGTTTTTTTCCCACATCACCTTGTCAGTCGTCCCTTCACATATACATTCCCACCCACCACATACATTGTTTTTG